GGAACCCCACCCTGATCCAGGACCCCCTTCAGGCTCTCAAGTGTTGGATGTGGGCCTTGGCAAGTAAAATGTGACTTCCCAACTCTTTATTGCCTGGTTACAGAGGATGTGAAGACTGTTCTCAGGAGTCTAGAAGTGGTGTGAAAGACATCCATGCCCCAGCTCTTTAGTGTTTCTGTGGTTTCACAATGCTGGGCTCTGCATCCTCATTTGGCCACCTTAAACCAAAAGGCTGAGTTTTGGAAATCAAAAGTTTAGCCTGGTTTCAGACCCTCTGCAGACAAAAATTAAAACTGATTAGAATAAATTCATGACATGCTATATTATGTATACTTACACTTTTCTTGATACTTAGTGTAGAAAACAAACTTTGGATAACATTATGTTAAGATGAGAGCACATTAAACCTTGAAAATTAAGTTAAACTAACACTGGAGCTTTACTTCAAACTCAATATACTAGTATAGTCATTAAAATTTAAATAATACTATTAATCATCAAGGTTTATCATCAGATTAAATGTTTTATATACAGTGGCTCTCAGCAGCTCCCTTTTCTGTGGCCTAAAAAAAAAGGGAGAAAAATAAAGTACACCTATGAAAATCTAAATTTCAAATAATAAGTTTAGTTGCCCTGTGGGGAAAAAACCCACAAATAAGGACGTGGAAAGAATGAACAGAAATGAATGGCAATGGAAATAACAGTAAATTTCTTGTATTTGCAAATCTTGGATATTTATTTTGAATGTTAGAATGTTCAGCCACTTCCAACCTCAAATTATTTCAAGTCAATCAAGTATTTAATATCCGTATTGCATCAATTTTGAGAGAAGTGAAGCTTATTAGTGAGTTTCTAATTCCATACAATAAAAACCAATGCCAACTACCAGGTGAAATTCTAAAGTTTCTACCTAATAAAACTTATGCATCTTTCAATGTTCAAGTCAAATACTATGCTCTCCTTTGGGGAGGCGTGCATGATCTGCTCATCTGAAACAGATTAATCATTGCTCTGGACACCCACACAATTCGTATGGGCAGTATTTCTTTTCTAAAAGAAGTCTCTGCCTTTTTAAAGCCCATAAAAATGTGGACAAATACAAAAAGAAGGATAATCACAAATACAGATATAAAATATTCAAGTTTAGATATCATGTTTAGCAACTTAAATAATTTCTAAGCACCTGATGATTTAGAAGAGCAAACTATACCCTAACTATTCCAACACAAGACAGAAGACAAGATGAAAACCAACTTTGTCATTTTGATATTTAAGAATCACTGGATATATTTCTTTTTAACAGATTCCTTTTCTAAGGACTTGCAATTCTGTATTTTAATTATACTAAAGTACTCTAAGAAGCTTTATAAAATATGTTATATGTACTTTTTAAAATAAAATTTGAAAGTAGACAACTTACTGTATGTCATCTCTCCCAGGGTACAGAGATTATAATAATCCAACTGGCAATTTGATGTTTTGAAGCATGTGGGTCTGCTCTACTAATCTTGATCGAGATATTTAAGAGATGACAAAAATAAATCTAAATTTTGAAGTAAATTTACATTGTATGTAACTGACAAAATTATTTTTTTCTTTAACATATTGGACACTAACTGCTGTGGTCTTGACAAACCAGTAAAAATGTAAACCCAAACTACAAGTATCATAAAATAAACTCCTTAAACAGGAAGTTCATGAGACCTTGTAACGGTGATACCATCTGGTTGTTTCCTTCTTTTTTCCTTCTCTTTCTTTTTCTTGATGTTTCATCTTTTGTCCTAGAAAACAAAACAAAAATAAATGATTTTATTAATGATTGCTTCAATAAAATAGAGATACAAGAACTTTTCTTTCTTTTCTTTCATGTTTTTATTGATTTCAGAGAGGCATGGAGAGGGAGAGATAGAAAGAAACATCAATGATGAGAATCACTGATCGGCTGCCTCTTGCACACCCCCTACTGGGGATCGAGCCTGCAACCCAGGCATGTGCCTTTGACCAGAATCGAACCTGGGACCCTTCAGTCTGCAGGCTGACGCTCCATCCACTGAGCCAAACTGGCTAGGGCATAGACTTTATTTAACTTTATTTTTCAGTAGTGATTACATCCACATGGTTTGAAATTTGAAAGATAAAAAGTTCTCTTTTCACTCTGGTCATCCAGCTACCTAATTCTTCCCAAAGTCTACAACAAATATTACAGATTTCTTGCATATCTTTCAAAATTAATTGTATGCATTTGGAGAGTTTATTGTCCCAGAACCATCTGTTGGGAGGACTATCATTTCTCCACTGAATTACCTTGGCACTTTTGTCAACTGACCATAAATTTAAGGGTTTATTCTTGAACTCATGTCTGTGTGCCCTTTCCTCTTCTTGTAACAATGCCAGTCATGGAATTTAGAACACTCCAGTTCCCCTTTCCAGCATGATCTTATGTTAACTAATTACATCTGCAAAGACTCTATTTCCAAATAAGGTCACATTCTGAGGTTCAGGGTGAACATGAATTTGGGATACCATTCAACTCACAACAGCATGAATACATTTATACTTGTTATATCTTCCTGATATGTTGACCCTTTTATCATAATAAAATTTCCTCATTGTCTCTAGTAATATTTTTCAAAATCTAATTTTCCTATTTTATTAATTTCATAAAATCAATTAAAAGACAATCTATATACTTTCATATTCTGGAAGAGAATATTATATATAATACAGTGGGGCCTTGACTTACGAGTTTAATTCGTTCCGAGACCGAGCTCGTTAAGGAGCTCGTTAACTCAAATTACTCTATCAACTCAATGCAAAAAATCGGCCGAGAGACAGCTGGTATCTCAAAAAACTCGTTAGTCGGGACACTTGTAAGTCAAGGCCCCACTGTATCAGACTTACCTATTCCTTGAAAAATCTTAAAAGAACTAAGTTTCCACTGCCTATCAATTTATTTTCAGGTAACATTTGCAATGTTTTCCATAAAGAATAGTCCATGTTTTAAAAAAAACTTTTTGAGTCAATTTTGGCAATTTAGAGCCTATACTACTATAATGTACTGTTTCTCAACAGGTGTTCTTTGTGGATTCTGCAGAAATCAATTCTTTATTGTTCACAACCATTCCTCACACTATAGGACATTTAATATTCTGGGGCCCTATCCACTAACTCTTCCCAATCTTTTTTAAAAAAAGTATATATTTGTATTGATTTCAGAGAGGAAGGGAGAGGGAGAGAAATGGAAACATCAATGATGAGAGAGAGCCACCTACTGGCCATCTCCTGCATGCCCCCACTAGGTATGGAACTTCAACCTCCTGGTTCACAGGTCGATGCTCCACCAGGGAGCCAGGCCAGCCTTCATGAAAACCTGATTCGTACCCTTCTCTGCATTTCCAAATGTCCCTTGGAAAGGGGGGGTCATTTGAGGACCAATGTCATAGTAGTTAAGGTGAACTACAGGGAAGAGAGGGCGTATGCTCAGCATCCTGGGGGCTCTGGGTGGTCCCACGGAGCCCGATACCAGCAGGGGTTGGGGCCCTCCTGTCTGTTCTGGACTCTGTGCTCCAGAACCTCTACGACTTTGGAGGACAGAAGATGAAGTAGAACAGAAAAGGATAAGAAAGAAAAGGGAAAACAAGAAGAGAGATGTGGGGACTTCAGTGGTGTTGGGGACAGAGCCCGCTCCCCGAGCTGGTTCTCTTGTAAGAGAAAGAGGCTCCGAGCTTCTCGGAGCTCAGAGAAGAGCTGCAATGTGCCCCTCCTGCGAACCCCACTGGAGCCCCTGGAGGCCCTGGCCCCTCCTGCTGCAGCAGTTCCCTCTCCTCTGAACTCGAGGTTATGCTGGGTGTGCAGCCTCCCAAAAGGAGTTACATGAATTACAAGGTTTTGCAGGAGCAGATCAAAGAAAAAAAGGCAGCAAAGGAAGAAGAAAGAATGGCCCAGGACACAGATATTTTCAAGAAAAAGAAGAGGAAAAGGCAGGAAGACGGGAAATCCAAAAAGAAGAGATCAGCTCCTAGTATTCTGTCAAGTGGACGGATTGGACCGGTTGGAAAATTCAAAAAGGGCCACTGATTCTGAACCCAGTTGATATTAAGAAAATAAATTCTTTCCGACTGGCTAAGTGAAGTACTATATGAACTGAAGAGAGGAATGGGAAAGGGCCACTGTACTAAAACTGGGCCTGTGCAAGACTTCCAGGCCATTATTTATTTCGGATTTCATGGGCTGCTTTTTTAGGGAAAAAATCAAATAGAAACAATAAAGCTTCTGGTTGCTGAAAAAAAAAAAGTAAACTACAGAGCCAGATTTCTTGGGTGTGAATACAGGCTCTGACACACTGAAAAACAGACAGACAAACAAACAAAAACCTAGTACAATTACTTGACTCCTCTGTATCTGTTTCCTTATCTGTAAAACCAGAATAGTAATGGGACTTATTTAATTACTGTGATGATTAGATTACCTGATACATGTAAAGTTCTTAGAACATCTCTGATACATAGTAAATACTGACAAATATTAGCAAATATTATTCCCTAAATTTGTCATTTCAATAATTTTTCTAAGACATGATAATAGTTTTGAAATACTAACTTTTTTTCTCTCCTATTAATTCATTTTTTCCTTATTCCTCCCCCCATACTCCTTTTAAATAGCTAGGCAGCTGTGAGCTCATTGCTTTAGGAAGAAATAAACCAGGGTAGTAAACAACAAAAAAAGGAACTCTTCCTGAATTTGATTTTTAAAAATGTAAGCCATTAGGGGACTAGAGAAGCTTCCACATGGAGATAACATGTTAGGAAGAAACACAACTGAAAAGAACAAGAATGAGTCTCACCTCCCCACAACCTGACCTCAAGTTGCAATAAAAATAGAAATTTCTCCAGAGTAAGGGGAAGAAGATATTGTGGGGAAGTGATAAGAGCATAGACATTGATAGATTCTAAAAAGAAGGGCCCTGTATCCTGATTCATGGAGCACCAGGGAAGCAGTAAAATTCCACAGAAATCTAAGGTGGGGGGAAGGAGGCTGTATTCTGAGGCTTGGATAGTAACAATGACTGGGAGAGGAGGTTATGCTGACCAGGCTTTAAATAGCCTTGCATTTAGTACCCCTGCCTGGCATTGAGGAAGCAGAATTATGCCCATGTCCTTACATGTGACATGGAAGTAACAGAGAGAGCCACTATACCTGAAGGGACAGGCAGACAGGAATGAAGACATGTCAGCGCCAGACAGAATGACAGACATCTCAGAATATACCCGTATGAACAGGTAACACTGAGAACTAGGTGAGTATCTTCTCCCCATCCATGCCTTGGGAACATAAAGACCGCCCCCCACCTCCTCACCCTTCTACCACTTCACTTCATCCCTGAAATTGAACTCAAAGTTGGGAAATAAGTCTTTATCTGTCTGTGTAGTTTTCTGAGTATTTTTTTTTTAAAGAAAAAGGACAGTATTGGGTTAGCTCCATGTTAACTACCATGTTAACCACTTCCTCCCTTATATCTCATTAGAATTCCATGTAGAGCCCCCATGGTGTGGCTCAGTGGTTGGGTGCTGACCTATGAACCAGTAAGTCATGGTTCGATTCCCAGTCAGGGCATATGCCCGGTTGCGGGCTCAATCCCCAGTGTGGGGTATGCAGGAGGCAACCAATCAATTCTCTCTCATCATTGATGTTTCTCTCTCTCTCCCCCTGAAATCAATAAAAATATATTTTAAAAAATTTCCCTGGAGCTTTTGTTTTCTTTAATTAATAAGGTACAGAATCCTATAACCAATTTTATATTAAATTATTCACAGTTACCTACCTTTCTTTCTTTTCTCCTTTTATTCCTTTTCTGTCCTCTCTTTCTCTTAACTTTTCTGTTGGTAGAATCTAAAAGAATTAGATTTTAAAAGAATTAGAAATGGTCTAGTTTAAATAGGCAAGCAAGAACATCTCTAGGGAAAAGAAATAAACTCCATGATTAAAAGGATGGGAAATCTTTTTGTTATGGAGACATTACATTAACTTCCTTTCAACAATAAAAAACCAATGTTAGAACTAGAAACTCTAAGGGAAAAGAAACTATACAAGAAAGTCAGTTCAAATATGAAGTAATACTAACACATGGCATGGTTTTAAGCAAGTGATGGACTATCAATGCACTTGATATCATGACTGGAAACATTCTCCTGTGAGAGTCCCAGTAACCAGCATATTAGGTCCATGAAAGGGAATATAACCCTAGCACACGACTTGGCACTGCAATAACAATATTTATAGAGCGATAATAACTTAAATGCTGATTATTGGTTTTGAACCTTTAAAGTGAGTCCATGAACAAAAAAATGAATGAGTTACTTTTGGTTGTAGAAATATTAACTACTGAAAACAAAAATATATATACAATAGAAAGAAAAGATGGAGTAAAGAAAGGGTGGGGGTGCCTATATAAAAGAGAGTAAAATAATTGACTAAAGTTGATGGAACAACAAGTAGAATTACAAATATAATATTGATGCCAAATTAACTAATAGAAAAACTATAGTTTGACTAGCAAACACTGACAGGGAAGAATAGGTGAGACAAAGGAGTAATTTAATGTGAACTAATCAATGGATATTGCCTACAGTTGAATGTGGAGAACATTTGCTATAATTTGATTGCCTGTTACCTGATTCTCCTTTCTATGTTTGGTGAAGGTTCTTCTGTATGCCATCCACCATCAGTGCTGAAAATACTAGCTTTTCCAGTTTCCTATGCAGCTGGGACATGGACATG